TCTCTCCCTACCTATTTATTATAGTACTCAAAGTTCTAGCCAGAGCAATTACACAACAAAAAGAGATCAAAGGGATACAAATTGGGAAGGAGGAAGTCAAATTATCACTATGTGCAGATGATATGATAGTATACTTAAGTGGCACCAAAAATTCTACCAGAGAACTCCTAAACCTGATAAACAAACTCAGCAAAGTGGCTGGATATAAAATTAACTCAAACAAATCAGTAGCCTTCCTCTACTCAAAGGATAAACAGGCTAAGAAAGAAATTAGGGAAACTACACCCTTCATAATAGTCACAAACAATGTAAAATGCCTTGGTGTGACTCTAACCAAGCAAGTAAAAGATCTATATGACAAGATCTTCATGTCTCTGAAGAAATCGAGGAAGACCTCAAAAGATGGAAACATCTCCCATGCTTGTGGATTGGCAGGATAAATATAGCAAGAATGGCCATCTTGCCAAAAGCAATCTACAGATTCAATGCAATCCCCATCAAAATTCCAAATCAATTCTTCATAGAGATAGAAAGAGCAATTTGCAAATTCATTTGGAATAACAACAACAACAAAAAAAAAAAAACAGGATAACGAGAACTATTTTCAACAATAAAAGAACTTCTGGGGGAATCACCATCCCTGACCTCAAGCTATACTACAGAGCAATAATGATAAAAAGCTGTGTGATATTGGTACAGAGACAGGCAGGAAGATCAATGGAATAGAATTGAAGACCCAGAAATGAACCCACACACCCATGGTCACTTGATCTTTGACAAAGGAGCTAAAACCATCAAGTGGAAAAAGGACAGCATTTTCAACAAATGGTGCTGACTAGCAGTCTGCATGTAGAAGAATGCAAATTGATCCATACCTATCTCCTTGCACAAAGCTCAGGTCTAAGTAGATCAAGGACCTCCACATAAAACCAGATATACTGAATCTAGTAGAAGAGAAAGTGGGGAAGAGCCTGGAATAATTGGGCACAGGTGGAAACTTCCTGTACAGAACACCAATGGCTTATGCTTTAAGAGCAACAGTTGACAAATAAGACTTCATAAAATTGAAAAGCTTCTGTAAAGCAAGGGACACTATCAATAGGACAAAATAACAACTCACAGATTGGGAAAAGATATTTACCAACCCTATATCTGATAGAGGGCTAATATCCAAAATATACAAAGAACTCAAGAAGGCAGACTCCAGAGAATCAAATAACTCTATTTTAAAAAATGGGGTACAGAGCTAAACAGAGAATTCTCAACTGAAGAATCTCTAACGGCTGAGAAGCACCTAAAGAACTGTTCTACATTTGTATACTCTGATAGTTATACAGTTATACTTCTCTGAATTTTAATTCTGTCTCACTGTAATTTTTTTTGTTCAATTAGTAAACAAATTCAAATCTGCCTCTAACTATAAACTAGAGGGTCTCAAAGCACAGTGCAAGAATTCCTCCCAGGGACAGGGGTCTCCAAAACACTTTCAGGGGTCTACAAGGTCTTTCCCTTACCAACTCCACATCTGCACCAGGTGAGATTATTCTTTTATTTCAGCTGAGATAATGCATTGCAAGAGATTGTATGTAAAAGTAGATAAAATAATCCTGTTGTCTTTTATTAAGACAGACATTAAAAGTGATTTGTAGAAATGAAAATGCTATTCTTTTCTCTATTTTTTTTACATTAAGCAACAGTTGTCTTAGCTATTATGAAGTAATGAGTATGCTATTTTTAGATTAATCTTTTTTAAAAAATTCTGTATACAAGTTGCCAAATATTAATATGTTATTTGTATAGACAAAGGCTCCCAGGATTTCTCAACACATTAAAATAATAAATGTATCCCACTATAAATGTATCCTGACAGCAGGTTTGAGAACTACTACTATGAAAGAAAAACAAAAAACAAAAATCTCTGTTCTAAATTCTGCTACTTACCAAAGAGCACACACAGTCTGGACCTAGCCCCAATCCCTCCAGTTTGTGCATATGTAGCAGATGAGCAGCTTGACCTTCAGGTGGATACCAAACAACTGGGGATGTCCTAAAAACTGTTGTCTGAATGTGGGATGTGTTCTTCTATTCTATGGGCTGCCTCATCTGGCCACAGTGGGAGAGAGGATGTGCCTAGCACCACATACACTGTGCCAAGAGGGGTACATAACCAGGCCCCCACCCACCCACTCAGAAGAGAAGGGGAGAGAAGGATGAGAGAAGTACTGTGGGAGGGGATGACTGGGAGAGGGCAGTGAGTGGGATATAAAATGAATAAGTAAAAAATTAAATTAAATTATAAAAAGAGAGATTTCTAGGTTGGTGTGCCAGGTCAGAGACATATGGCTAGTAATGAAAACACTTAATATTCCTAAGAAATGTAACAGACCAGAGAGCTGGGAAAAGAAAGAAGCTCAAAGTGGCACTCAGCCCATATAAGTACACTACTGTCAGAGCTGAGAACATGAGCCTGAACCTTTAGGGCAGATCCCTTAGCCAGAATCAGGCCACGCTTCTCCACAGTTCTCCCTGGAACAGAGAATTAAGAAGTTGTTTGTGGAAGTTAGACACTGTGATGGTTTGTATATGCTCAGCCCAGGAAGTGGCACTATTAGACAGTGTGGCCTTGTTGGAGCAGGTGTGTCACTGTGACCTTGGGCTTTAATACTCTCATCCTAGCTGCCGGGAAGTCAGTATTCTGCTAGCAGCCTTCAGATGAAGATGTAGAACTCTCAATTCTTCCTGTACCATGCCTGCCTGGATGCTACCATGTTCCCACCTTGATAATGATAATGGTCTGAACCTTTGAACCTGTAAGCCAGCCCCAATTAAATATTGTCCTTATAAGTTGCTTTGGTCATGGTGTCTGGTCACAGCAGTAAAACCCTAACTAATAAAAAAATAAATATTTTAAAAAAAGAAGTTGTTTGTGCTGTGACCTAACAAGCAGCAGACCTTGATTTATGGTCTTAATCGGTACCTGGTTTTTCCATGCTTTTTGTCTAGTATGCTTTGTTAAACTAAACTACATGAAACTTCCCACCACCCCTCAAATGTCAGGAAAAGTCAGAACCTTTCCTTTGAGAGAGATTAGGTCCAAGATTTCTTTGAAGGCTGCCTTCTTGACACTCTTGTGGCCTCTCTACTAACCTCATGTCTTCTCTCTCACATGTTTGAATGCTTGGTTCCAGTTACTGGAACTGTTTGGGAGGTATGCCCTTGTTGTAGGAGATATGTCACTGAGGGCAGGCTTTGAAGTTTCGAAAGCCCATGTCAGGACCGGTCTCTCTGTCTCTCTGTCTCTGTGCATGTGTACATGTGTAAATCTCTTAATCTCTCTCTCTCTCTCTCTCTCTCTCTCTCTCTCTCTCTCTCTCTCTCTCTCTCTCATTTTTATTCTTTCTGTAAAATCATTTTTTGATTTTTTGTGTGTTTAGCATCATGCTCATCCCATCCCCTCATATCTACCCTTTGCCCTTGCAATCTTCCTTCCCCCTAAAACACACACACACACAAACAACAACAAGAAAACTCCCAAAGCATAAAAAAACCTCTCATAGTCGAAGTTGTAGTGTATCTCAGTGTGTCTCAGAGTATATCCCTCTGCTACATATCTTCACTTGTAAATGTTCGTTGCAGTGAGTCGTTGGTCTGGTTCAAGATCTCTGGCTTCTGTGACACCATCAATATTAGATCCTCATTAGACCTCCTCCAGGTTATCCTGTTGTTGCCCTGTGTCATGAGATCCTGCAGCTTTGGATCAGCAGGACTGGCCCTTTCACATGCCCCAACCATTTGCAGACCATATAAATTTTGGGATGGGTCAACTCAGAGCCTTAGATCTGGGCCTGCGTGTAGCTGAGCCAGCCAGCCCCACTGGCTCTCCCTTATTCACGCCACCAGGGCAAGCGCTCCAATACTGCTCTAGCTAGTCCACCCAATGCTACCATTGGCAGGAGGTAGGGTCTGCTCTCCTGTTCCCATGCCATCAGGGCCAGCTCACCCTCACCCATGCCTCCCAGAGCCAGCTCCACTTGCTTCCCAGTCAAGGTGAAGGGTCTGCTCTTCTGAGTGCTACAGCCTGTGAGAGGCAGGGCCAGCTAATGAGATCTCATGACCATGGGGTCAGCTCTCCTGACTGCGTCATGTGGCAAGGGGCAAGGAGGTGGAGGACATCTGTCTGCTCCCTAGGCCACCTCAGGCCAGAGGAGTGGCGAGGTCAGCTCTCTTGAGCTCTCACTTTCCAGCTGGCTCACTGACACCCACTAGGCCACCTCTATTGTGCTTGCTCAGGTGAGGTGCAGGACCCAGTCTTCCGAGTGCTGCAGCTGGTAAGGGATAGGAACAGTTCTCCTGCTTTCATGACTTTGGCACCAGCTTACCCATACCCCACCACCAGGGCCAGCTTCAGTGTACTACCTGGGCAAGGCACAGGGCCCATTCACCCATGTGCTGTCACTGGTGAGAGATGGGACCAGCTTTCCAGAGTGTCACAGCCAGTGAGTGGTAGGTATAGTTCTGCACAGGCCCTAGACATTCATGTCTAACGAGGGACATCCCCATGTTCTCTAGTGGTAATATGAGCCAGGGACATCGGCAATGAGCCTTGCCACTGTGTAGATACTGACACAGATATGGCCTTCAATAATAGCTCAGGCTGGGACCTTACCCAAGTGGCAGGGCTGGCCACTCACAATAGGCTATTCCACTCCACCCTTGAGTCTCTAGTTTCATCTCTCTTCACAATGCTCAAGCTACTCCACTTCTCTTTCTCTCTCATATGTCCACCACATACTTGCACATTGTAGTGGCTCCCACTGCAGGCTGGCCATGAGGCTGGTGGGATCATCCTCCATGCACTGCATGATGTGGCAGCAAGCAGGTATCTGTGGCCCACCTATGTTTTGCACTGGAGGACAAGTCTATGGGTGGTCTTCCTCCTTTGATATTGTGCTGCCTAGATTTGATTTGATTTGATTTGATTTGATTTGATTTGATTTGATTTTTGAGTCCCAGGCATAGAATAGCTTTGTCTACCAAGCCAAGCATCAAGCTAGGATGAGCAAAGGACAGCCAGCTCCCCTGCCCCTAACTGATATATGAACAACACTACTAACAAGGTGTCTCTTTGTCCACTGCCAGGGGCTTGCCATTTTTCACAATAAAGCTTCTCTCCAAGTTTTAAAGGCAAGCCTCTCCTTCCCTTTAAGGATCCATCAGGTTTAGATTTCCATATATTGTACTGTTTGTGTCTAGTGCTTTCCCTCCTACCTTGAAGCATAATCATGGCCTCAAAGGCCCTTTATCCTAATAAATTCCATTCTTCTAAAAGGAATTATGTGTGTTAACTTCTTTTCTTTTTCTATTGTTGCTGGTCATCTTTTATAACACATAGCATGTGCCCATCTTTCCCCATATGTGGAGACTTTGGCTTTTCATCCACATGTTCTGTTCTTCACTTAGAGCCCTGGTAATGAGAGGTCTCAAGTATTTCTGCCAACTACCTTCTTTTACATGTTAAGTTTGCTGCCCACCTCCTGGAACCCTATCTCAGAACATATTACTAAATCTGTCTGTACCCCAATTTCTTCATTTATGAAGACAACTCTGACACTGTAAATATTTTCAAATTTTGAAAGTTTCTTGTTGACTATATCTTCGCTAACTTATAAATATTAATACTTCTTACGGGACATCCAGTTGAGGAAAAAAAAACAAAAATAAATAGCTACCTCACCCAATTTTTTTTATTTGAGAGGGTTTGTTTGGTTGGTTGGTTGATTGTGACAAGGTCTCACTGTGTAGCTCTGGTTGTCCAACAACTTGATATGTATCAGGCTAGCCTTGAGCTCACAGAGATGCCCCTGCCTCTGTCTCCTAAGTACTGGGATTAAAGGCATGTGCTACTACACCTGGCAAATTTGAGAGATCTATATAGATATTATGTGTAATTGAAAATTATAATTGAGTGTGTAAAATAGAGGCAGCAAAAGACATTTTTATAGTTCAAAGATTTATATATAAATTGTCTATAGTTTAAGAGTATAGCTCATCCAAACATTGCAAAATATTGATTATAGCTGAAATTTAAGAGATAAAGACAAATAAGATTTTTTGAAACTTAGATTCACAGATAAATATTGTATAATATTTAAGGCTTTCGTATGTAGTTAAATACAACGTGAACTAATAATACAAATCCTTGTTAATTTAAGAAAATTGGCCATTTGAAAATGTCTACATGGGGTACTATATGTATTTGTTCTGCTTTAATAGGAGTCATTAATCTCAAATACCTTGTCAAAGAATAAATTCATTATGGGATTGAATATAAGAGTGCCAGAAAAATAGGGAGAATTGAAACAGCACAGTGGGCAAAAATACCAGCAGTCAACCCCAGTGACTTATTTAAGTGCCCAGGTCCTAGACTGTGGAAGGAGAGAAATTACTCCACAAGTTGTCCTCTGACTCTACAGTTATACTATGGTATGCATAGTATACTATGGTATACTATGGCAGACACAGACACAGACACAGACACAGACACACACACACACACAGACACACACACACACACACACACACACACACATTTTTAAATGTAAAACAAAAGAGTTTTAAGACAACCAGAAAAATGTCCATTAATGACCAGGACATTGGTTTAAGGCTAAAATTTGAAGGTTAGTTAGGTTAATCCTTTGCTAAATAATAAATCTCATTACTTACACACACACACACACATACACACATACAAGCCTGGTAGCACTCCCCTACTCTTAAATCAACAATGCATTACCTAAGAACAAGAAGAATCCAAATATTTTTTTTAGTCATTTAGGAAGGTTGTACAAACTTGTCTATTTAATGATTGTTGCACACAGCTGTGCCCTGAGAAATGATTTCCAAACCTTTGGGTTATTTCAGAATTTCTGAAATCCTCTGAAGTCTATTTCAGGTTTATACCCAAACTAAAAATGTACACAGCTCCAGCCCACAAGTCTCAATTGGCTCTACCAGGACCTTCTTAGTCAATTTAGTTAATTTCCTTCTTCACTACCCAGGGCTGACTATGGGTAATTAAGAGGTTAACATAACAAAAGTAGAGAGTATGGACTCCCGGTGGGAACCTGCACAAAGAGTGACCTTTGAGCCTTCCACCTGTCGCTGCCCATTCTGGCCACACACTAGTTTTCTTTGTAATCACAAAAAAAAAAGCACTTTGGGGCCTCAGCAAAGGTGGCCAGCTGTCCTGAAATCCTAAAATTTCCTAACAGCAAGGGGATTGAAAGCTGCGGTCTGAATTGTTATAAATATGAACTGCACAAATTGTGCCAGTGCATAAATTAAAGATCAGTCAAAAACAATCCAAAAATGTGATTTTTACAAGGGTTGTATTATATTTGCCTATTGAAACACTCTTCACAGTAAGAATCAAATTTACACACACACACATCTTGCTCTTTTATACTGAACAATTACATTTGCTAAAATATGGCATTGATGCAGATAAAAATGAATTCATGTCAATAAATCTACTATTAATTTAGACCAAACTACTCAAATTGACCAGGGATGAGGGACAAAAACAAAGTGTTTTCCTGAAACAGCATCTTTAAAAGACACCTGTAGAGAAAAGAGCATGTTTCTATGCTTCCACTTCTAGGTCCTGGTTCTAATAAGAATATATTTCGATAATTTATGCATATCTAGTATTTATTAGCAGCAAATTCACAATGCCTGTACTTGTTCATTTTCCTTCCTGTTAAAGGAGGAATGGGAAGGTCAAGCAGATAATTTCCTTTTAGGAAACAGACAGCTTCAATGTACGCACTAGTATGTGCCATTTATTAGCTGTGTGGCCTTGACAAGTAATTTGACCTCCCTATGCCTTAGTTTTCTCATACAAAACTTAGTTAAATATAGTGTCCCTCATGCTAATATCCAAAATATAGAGTGAACTCGAAGAAGCTAAACTCCAAAAAACCAAACAACTCAATCAAAAAATGGGGTATAGAGCTAAACAACCAATTCTCAACAAAGGAATCTCAAATGGCAGAAAAGCACCTAAAGAAATGCTCAAAGCTTTTAGTGATTAGGGAAATACAAGTCAAAATGACCCTGAGATTTCACCTCACACCAATCAGAACAGCTAAGATAAAAATAAAAAAACTCAGATGACAGCACATGTTGGCGAGGATGTGGAGAAAGAGGAACACTTCTCCATTGCTGGTGGGATTGCAAACTGGTACAACCACTCTGGAAATCAATCTGGAGGTTCCTCAGAAAATTGGAAATAGATCTACCTGAAGATCCAGCTATACCACATTTGGGCATATATTCAGAAGATGTCCTACCATGCCACAGGGTCACATGTTCCACTATGTTCATAGCAGCCTTATTTGTGATGGCCAGAATCTGAAAACAACCCAGATGACCCACAACAGAAGAATGGATACAAAAAAATATGGTTCATTCACACAACAGAATACTATTCAGCTATTTAGAATGAGAACATTATAAGTTTTGCAGACAACTGTATGGAACTAGAAAATATCATCCAGAGTGAGGTAACTCAGACCCAAAAGGACATGCATGGTATGTACTCACTAATAAGTGGATATTTGCCCAAAAAGTACAGAATACCTAGGACACAACCCACACAACTCAAGAAGGTTAACAAGCAGAAGGGTCCGAGTAAGGATGCTTAATTCCCACTTGAGAGTGAGAAGAAAGCAATCATGAAAGGCAGAGGGAAAGAGGGAACTGGATGGGAGAGGGGAGGGGGAAGGGAAAATGGGAACATGATAAGGTATGGGGGTGGGGGTGGACAGGAGAGAAGCCTTGAGGGAAATATGCAACCTCACATGGGGGTGGGGGAGACCCTCTAGAACGTACCGCAGAGACCTAGGAGGTGAGAGACTCTCAGCACTCAAAGGGAGGGACCTTGGATGAAGTGTTCTACCATGGGGAGAGGGAACTTGTAGAGTCCACCTCCAGTAAAAAGACTGGGCATCAAATGGAGGGATAGGATTGCTATCCCACAGTCAAAAGCTCTGACCCAGAATTATCCCTGTCTAAAAGAACTGCAGGTACAAAAAACAGAGAAGAGACTAAGGGAAAGGAGGTCCAGTGACAGGCCCAACTTGGGATCCATCTCAAGGGGAGGCTCCAAGGCCTGACAGTATTACTGATGCTATGGTGTGTTTATAGACAGGAGCCAGCTGTCTTCCAAGAGGTCCAACAAGCAGCAGAAAGAGTCAGATGCAGATACTTACACAAAACCAATGGACAGAAGCTGCTGACCCCCTATGATTGAGTTAGGGAAAGGCTGGAAGAAGCGTCTTCTTCCTCTTTCTCTTCCTTCCCTTCTTCCTCCTTCTTTAGAAGTTCTGAGGCTATATCCCAGGACCTTAGGCACGTTAGGCTATATCTCTAGCCTTCATTTATTCCTTAATGCCATCTGAGAAACAAAGAAAAAATTCACATAGGTATGATAAAAGATGGCTTCAAGCTTCTTCCTGCAGCAGATTGGAACAAATGTGGAGACAGGCAGACAGACATTATGCAGACAGTGAGAGATCTTGGGACATTCTGCCCTCAATGGGAGGTTTCCATTAAATCCCTCCCCCATGGCTCAGAAAACCCTTCAGAAGAGGAGAAAAGGGCGTAAGAGTCAGAAGGGATGGAGGACACCAAGAAAACAAGGCCATCTACATCAACATCAGCAAAGCATATAAGAACTCCAAGACTGAAAGGCCTACACTGCTGTGCACTAGGTTTTCTGTATATGTATTATGGCTTCCAGTGCAGTGTTTTTATGGGATTCCTGAGTATGTGGATGAGTGACTTCCCTTGGGCTCTTTTCCTTCTCTTTGTTTGTCTTGTCCAAGTCCAATGTGCTAGTTTTTGTTTTATCTTATAACTTACTATACTTTATTTTATTATTATCTATTAGAAGCCTATTTGTTTTCTAACGAGAGGTCAAAAGGGAATGGATCTGGATGGGAGGGGAGGTGAGAAGGACCTGGGAAGAGTAGAGAGAGGAGAAACCATAGTCAGGATATATTATGTGAGAGAAAAAAAATCCATTTTACTTTTTTTGCACTCTCAAACAATAAATGAAAATATGTTTTAAAAGAACTTCAAT